ACATCATTTTCTTCAATTAAGCTTAACTTATTCAAACCACGTCTATGAATTATCATAAAGCCAACCCTTTCTTTCAATAAGGTTCATTTTATATATACTAATGTGAAAGACATTCAAATATACCATCTTCCTTATTATCCTTATTAGATAATATATCTCTATATAGGGTTGTTAATGGAGTAGCTTACTCCGGAGTAGAACCCAACCCAAGTTGGTGTGGGTTTAAAATTATGCCTTTAGGTTTGGAGCAATCTGGAGCAACCCGGAGCAAAACATTTGAGTAAGTCTAATTTAGTGGAGTGGGTTGAAGATTGGGTCAACCAAAACCAACCCATTAACAACCCTATCTCTATATTCAAGTTCCTGAAAGTCATTTTTCCGAAGGAACATAATCCCGATAAAGTCAACTAGCGTTATAATGCTTGTTGACTCAGTCGGGACCATGTCCTTTCGGAAAAATGTTTCTCGGAAAATCATAATAATTGTAATATATATACCCCCTAAACCATAAGTACTTAAGGTAGGTAATTTAGTCCGAAAATAATTTAGCAATTTTCAACTACTGTATTCCGGAAAATATAGCCTAGATTAAATTTAAAGTATTCAGTGATTTATCAAAATCGATAATAACAGGACTATCATAAGCAATAACCCGTTAGTTAATTCAACGAACAAATTCCGTTAAAATTGGTAATACGTATCGTGAGAATCTACGTAGTGGAATAACATTGAATTCACCAAATTCGACAAAAAGCTTTGTCGATCTTGAAATATTAAAATAAAAAAGGGTGGAAAATTATTTAAACATAGATACATGATCACAGTATAATAAAATCATGTGTCTAAGTATATTATTCTCTTCTGATAAATTTCATTATCAGGAACAGATTATGTAAAATTTTTTTTGTAGCATATTTCCACTAAAGAACTTATGCATATCTCTTAGGATCAGATGGTAGTTTGATTGGATCTTCGGTTCATGGCGTTTCTCAGCAGAAACAATTTAACCTTTTATAGGTTTAAGATCCATATAAATGATATTAACATTTTTACATGTAACTTTCGTAGATTTTATCATAACACGTATACATAACATACATAACATACATAAGATACATACGTACGTACGTAAGTACTCTTAGAATGCTGAATTACTGTACATAATAAGTATATAACACAATAAATATCTTGGTTACACCAAGGTACTTTCGGATTTGCTATTGTGAGACACAAAGTCGTCGTACATTAGTTGCACAATACGTCCACCACATAAATCTGGATTGTCATTTCATCTCAAACAAAAAAAAAGACTGTTGTTTGCGTCAAAGCCAGCGAAAGGTACTTGCGGGGCTTCTTTTGAGGCTTATCTTTTTATTCTTTGTTTATTTTTGTTAATTTTTTTTGTCTTTCCTGTTCTGAAATGTGAAATATTATTTTTACCTACCTTTGGTTAAATTTATTTTATATTTGCAACTATTTTTTTTTTCGTTCTTTGTTATACTACTTCTAAATTTCACAATGTCTTTCGAAATCTTTCACGATGTCTTTCTTTTATAAAATAATTTTTTTTTTCTTTTATTAAATTAATTCATTTATTAATTTATAATTATTATTAAATTTTATTACTTGAAACGAAATAGGAGTCGACGTTACTTTATGATCATGGACACCTCAGGATCTGACACCGATTTTACGACGATTAAAGATGATGATTCTGAACAAGAAATTAATACCAGATCAATCACTCCTAAAAAGAGGCGAACTAGATCTTTTTCAACCTCTGGAAGTTTAAGTGACGATTTGATTGATGAATCCCAACTTAGTTCTGTGGGAGGGTCAACAAGTGCTAGTGAATCAATAAAAATAAAAAAAGAAAAACCTACTCATGTTCAGCCAAATAATAATAATAGACCTCCTGTGGCCGTTCGTAGAAAACCTGGAAGACCTCCAAAAAAGTTGCTTATAAAAACTAGTGATATTGAAGGTGATGATGATGATGATTACCATCCACCTGGTCAATTTCAACGTTTAAAAAAGCAACTCAGATCTCCTGTTAAACAGGCTACTCCCGCTCCAACGGGCAGAAAGCGTGGTAGACCAGCTGGAATCAAAAACAGGGTTCAAGTTCAACGTCTCAATTATGGTAATAACTTTGCTGATGATCATGATTCTCAAATAATTCATAGACGTGGTTTGAATAAGTTAAGCTTAATTGAAGAAAATGATGTATTTGCTAAGGATAATGCCGGTCAAACAAATTTACATCGTGCTTGTCAGGATGGAAGATTAGATATGGTTAAAGCCCTGATAAATGGTGGTGCTGATGTAAACATTCAGGACAATGCCGGATTAACTCCGCTTCATGAAGCTGTGTCTGCTCATAATTATGACATTGTAAAATATTTATTAGAAGCTGGTGCAAATCCAAATATTGGTGAATCTGAAAATGTAGATACTCCACTTCATGATGCTTGCAGTCTTGGTTATCGTGATATTGTTACTATTTTAATAGATTATGGTGCTGATCCCGATAAAACAAATGTAAATAACACTACGCCTAAAGATACTGCTAAAAATAACATTTCTGAAAATTTATTAAGGTTGGTAAACCAGATTAAACTTCCAAATCGTTGTATAGTTCAACAAAATATTGATGCTAGAGCTGAAGAAGAGAGTAGGCGATTTTCTTCAGGGGAAACAGGTAATAATAGTATGTAAATTTTGTAAATTTGGATAATTACTTTTTTTTTGATTTTATTTTATTTTGATTTTATTTTATTTTTTATTTTATTATTATTATTATTATTATTATTATTATTATTATTATTATTTTCAAAAAACAAAAAAAAATCTCATCTATATGTATATACATATATACGTCTCAAATCAGGCAACATTTTGCCGCGTAAAGTTTCTGTAAATAATTCTAAACGTTCAACTAGAAATACTGGAAAATATTATGATAGAAGCAGACATGATAGAATACGAAATACTGGAGCTAGAGGAATCACTTCGTCCAATGAAGTATTACGATTAGATCTTACTGTCGACTCCAGAACTGGTCGGAGTAGATTACATCATTATACAAAATTAGGACACGCTGAAGCTGTTGTTGGTTTATTAGAAATGAATGCTCCTGTTGGAATAACTGATAAGGATAGAGGACGTACTCCTTTACATGAAGCTGCTATAGAAGGTTATCATGACATTGTAGGTTTTCTACTTGCATATAAGGCTGATATTAATGCTCAAGATAAATATGGAAATACTCCGCTTCACTATGCTTCTTTTTATGGTCATGGTGACGTTGTCAAGTTACTTTTACAACACAAATGCATTCTTAACATAAAAAATAATGAAGGAAAAGAACCTTATGAAATGGCTCGTGGTAGAGAACATATCATACAATTACTTTGTCAAAATACGGATATTACTTCAGATAGCTCTATGGCTGATACAAATTATTCTGAGTCTGAAATGTCTCCTGTGTCATGTGTTAATATGGAACTTGCGTCTGAATTGGATCAAAAAGAAAAGAAACAATTAATAAAATCTGATTCGCAACCTATATTATATCATATTGAAGATCATCAAGAAACTTTAATACCTCCTCCATTTGAACAAATATATAATGAAGCTGATATTTCGGATTTGGATCAAACGTATTCTGATAGTGATGATGATAATTTTTCTCTATCTTTTTCTGATAATGATGAACCTGTTTCTCAAGCGGGTCCAATATATGTATTTCAATTTGATCCAAATATAAAAGGATATCCTATAGTTTCTTATGCTGGGAATGAGGATTCTCGTTTTATAATTGATATTCAAATTGAAAAATATCTTGCTTGGAATCGTGGTTCTTTGGCTAAAAAAATTGATTCTTCAATCACCAGACGATTAGTTACTACTCAAGAAAAAGTTTTACTTTGGCCGTTATTGAATGGCGAAATTTGGAGAGGTTCTTCACGTAGTCGTCCTGAAGAAATGGAATCAATTAAAGAAAAACGCAAGGAGCGTTTTTTTAAATGGGAACTATATTTTATAAAGGTTTGCTGATCACCATATATTTTGTGTCGTTTTATCTATAAACTTTGTAATTCTATAAATTCTATAATGGATTTATTTTTAGTATCCTGAAATTCTCTCAATAATAAATACTCCGTGGCGAGAACGTGATATTGGAGATTTAGGCATATTTCCTGTTGATTTAGTCATTAATGGGGATTCTGAAATATCAGAATAATATACGACTTATGATATGTAATTAAGACATCGGTATGTTAGGATTGAATATATCTAATATGACTAATATGGGTGAGAAGAACTTTTGAGGAACCCACTTTATTGCATAAAAAAATATATATAGAAAAATAAAGTCTGTATCAATCTATTCCTTTTTTGATTTTTTTTATACCGATTTTCTTTTTAACTAATAGAACAATGAAGAAATTCAAATATTTGCATAAAAGCCAATCGTGAAAAAACCACAAAGAGGTTTCCAATTAATTCAAATTTAATTGTTCTTTATTAATTCAACATCAAATGACTTTTATTAACTTATTGGTATTTATTATCATAAAGTTCTAAGCTTTTAAGATTTGCCAACCCTTTTTGTAAGAAAAAAAAGGAGAAAATCTGTCT